AAAGACAAGCAAGCGATCCAGTGCAACATAGCTTAAATTTAATTCATGCAACTTGAAACTAGAAATCATACATAAACTTCTTAAATAAGCAGCCAATCAGTTTAACTTCAACATTGCCAAACTTGAAGTATACACATTAAAGTACATTATGAAAACTCACAGAATGATGTATAGAAATAAAACAAATTAGTTCTGTTCCCCATCTTTATGAAGGAGATTTAACTTTTGCCCTAAACAATGCCAGATTCAGAAAATAACAAATATCAAGTAATTTGGTATGTTCAAAAATTGCTGTGCGAAAGACAGACCTAAATTATATAAAAGATTTGGGTATATATATTCTTTCTGGATGCAGTAATCAGTACATAAAACAGTAGCCTCAAATCACAAATCCACTAATTTAATATAAACCAAAAGTACAAGCTTAAAGCATTTATTCTAATTCAAGAGTTTTATACATTCCTCTTATACACCATCAGCTATTAAGATTTCTTATTAAAAATCTGCTTTCCCCTCTAAGGGGGCTGCATTTAGATAGACAGGTTTGTTTTTGTAAAGCCTCTCTTCCTCTTCATAGTAACATCAAGTGTAATATAAATAGCAAATAGGAGCTCTGGTAGTGTAGTGCCTAAGGCACTTGATTGCTAACCAGAAGGCTGGTGGTTCAAACCCACTAGCCACTCCTTGAAAGAAAGGTTGGGTGATCTACTTCCGTAGTGATATTGCCTCTGAAACCCAAGGAGGGGTCTCTATGAGTCAGGTCCAACTGGACGGCACATAACAACAACAACATCTGTTCAAGAAATGAAACATACCAGTGTAAAACAATTAAGAGAAGGAATTAGACCATTGTTCTACTAAGAAGAGTTCCTATTCATTCTGAGGCCACATTTCATGTCGTTTCACTGTTTTCTTCTGTTTGGCTTATCTGCCCTCCTCCAACTGCTGCAGTTTTAGGAAAGGGAGTCAAGATCCTTTTATACAATCCTATTAACCATTCCTCTGTTAGGAGAGATTCACTTTGGTTTCTTTACCATCTGATAGGTGGGGCTGTTCTTTGTTACTGAGGACACTAGAGACTATGACTGCTTCCAATTTTTTCTGGTACACAGACTGAATTCCATTCCATTACTACGTACTCAATCCACACATCCAGTAAAATGTTTTTACTATTTCCCAATTAGTGCTATCAGAATTCTTCTCAGTAATAATATACTCTCAAAGGCATAGACACAAGATGGTAGGCAGTATGTAATTTTGATTAATTGTAATATGGAATGCACTTAAGATTTTCATACAATTGAGCTCTAAGTCCTTATAGGTTGAACAAGCAGAGTTAAGAGCGACTGTATTAAATATTCCTTTCTGTCTCCTGGCATACCTTTGCATAATCCTTTCATCTAAATCTCAAGGAAAAAAAAACAGAACCCCATTTTTTACACACACACCCTGTACATAAAACTGTCCTAGCAAAATTTTTAACATATACCAGGATATATGGTAACCACTTAACATTCACAATTTAGTAATACTTCTTTAGTAGTAAATTAACAAACTACATAAATAAAAACTATTATGATATAAAGATATGTGCCTCGAAGGGATCCTTACAATCAGGTTTTCAATAGTCTTTTGGCTGTAGTTGACAGTTCACAATTGCAGCCATTCATTAGAGTTCCTGGAATGCAGGCTACAGAGCTCACACTTGTCAGCTATCTATGGAAAATGATCTGGACCCTGCTCCTTTTCCAAAAGGACCAGTAATATTTTGCACCACCCTCATTTACAGAAGAGAAATAAGTTAAATGTACAGGTAGTTTAAGCAAATTTTGTAATGTTCACAAAGTGGTTGTGTATTTTTCTAGGAACTATTATTTTCAACCATTATCATGTAATCCAGTTTACACAAAACCAATCTCAAGAATCGTAACAACTAACCATACTACTTCCTATTCAGAGGACAAAATGGTATTACATGAACATTACTGTCATTAATGAGATAGGGTCAATAACAAGGCTAAAAGGGAACTTTAAGGTATTTTCTTACTTTGTATCATACAACTATCACTCCATCTAAACGTTATGACAATATTATTAAAATTTACAAAGATAAACTCTGGTTCTTTAATATAAATAGTTAAAAAAATGAGCCACTAGATAGCATCGTATCAGGTATTGGAAGCAAAAGCACAAGATAGTTTCCTACATTAACGTCTATCTTTTTGCCAATCTCTCATTATCCTTCTTAAATAGCCTATTTTCACTAACACCTTAAAAAATTTTTTTTTAAAACAAAAATATAATGTATAAACACTTCCTTAGGATCTGAAATTTGTCTACCTACAACGTTTCTACCATAATTACTCAAGACTTCTCATCTCGATTTATTTTACATGTGAATGACTGCAAATAAAACTGTACATAAATTTTGAGAAGGCAACCCAAAATCACCATATTAAAATTAAGATTTTTTGTCAGATAGTACTGTCTCCTCAAAAGTACTCATCTCTGTAATTAAACACGCCTGGAAAAACTGTGTTATTTAATTACAAACATGAAACTTTAAAATGCCCTTTTCTTTTACAAAGGCTTTCCATTAAAAAAAAAAAAAAAGACTGCTATTTCTACTTAATGGATTTATTCCTTCACCAGGTGTGTTGGGTCCAATGGCAAAACAGTCAAATGTGTACGATTACATCTTAGAAACTAGCAAGTTAAAAACCAAAAGACAGTAACAAAATTAGGAAGGCATATTTGATATGCAATGCAAATGTTAAAAGACTGGGAAAGGAGGGTCAAGGAACTGCACACACATTAAAACCCTGCCCTGAAATAACGGTTGCAATTGCTATAAACACTGATACAGTAATATCTATAGTTCAAACATTCACGTTTTAAACTGATATTCTTGAGATTAACTCTTCTCAATAAAGAGAAGAAATAAATGAATTTTTGAGGTCATATCCTAAGGAATACATCCCAGAGTTTCCATGTGTCAAAAGATCTCTGCTTCATGCCACATCATCGTATTAAAGTTTTAGGGAATATAATTACATTTGCTGTAAACAGAGAGGTGTGAAGAGGAGGGAAAATGTAATCTCCATTCATGGGTGGATATAAATGTTGGGAGGGGGCCCAGAAGAGACTGGGAAACCAGCCATCATTTCTTGATGAGATGGGGGCAGTATATACAAGCAGAGAGATAAGCAAATAGTTATTTAGCAAACCACCAGAAAAATTTGGCATATGGCAGCTAGAAAAGAGAAGATGCCTTCTATTACCAAAGGTGATAAAATACTCTATACATCTACATTTTGGGTGTGTCCCTGTGTGTGAAGAGTGAAAGATGGAAGGAACTATAAAAGTAAATGAGAAATTCTTTTGAGCAGTTTGTAGAATTAATTTATTTACTTGGTAAGCATCATCCATATCAAATTTCTCAACGACTAGCTAGCTAGCTGAGCTCACTTATGGACTCATGGTTGTCTCTAATAATTCTCAAATGGAGGAAAGTCTCCCCACGAGTCACCTATAAAAAAAGATGAACTTTGAATTACAATAAGCAGAGATGATGAAATGCAGTAAGTATTTTTCAAACCAACAGAAATATGTAACAAAAATCCAAGGCTTATTAGAAGCAGAAAGTAAAGCATTTGAAGGAACTCAGAAGAAACACAGAAAAAGCTTTAAAAGATCTCATTGTATTTTACATACCAATTATTCTAGAAACCCATAAAAATAGTCTTGACCTTTCATCACATCTAAAATTAACCTCTCTCTCAAAACAAAATTCCAGCAAATAGAAGTCAAGTGCCTGAAACTTTCTCTGTAACTTTTAAATTTAATTTTAAAGCTTTGTAACAACTTGGTTTAAATTATTTGTATTATACGCCTTACTTTCAAGTGACAGTTCCACAAAACCACTAAAAATCCTCATTAAATCATAACCAAACATCAACTGTCATGGTATAAGTGTGAAAATACACTAATTTTCACTTAAACCACTCAGAGCATCCCTTAAGTAGAGGGAGCAAAGTATTAGTATTTACACTTTTACTCTAAAATTACTGTAATTTCAAGGACTACAGCTTTTATTACTGTTAAAGAGTATATTCCATACCTTCCTCTCTACAGCAAAGAGAATGGAAAATAAGAAAATCTTTCCAACACATTTTTTGCTTAAAAAAAAAAAAAAAAAAAACAACCCACAAACCATAATATATGAGAGAAGTCACTGTGAAGTCTCCTGACCTTCCACTCCCTTTTATTAAAAGGCTTAAGGAAGTATGCACTTAAAAGCTGGATTCGATATTTCATCATTTTCTCTCCAGCCTTTCAGATATACTGGAGATTACTTATGTGGCTCTTTTTCTATTAGTGTTTCTTCTGGCTTTCCAGAATAGAAAACTTTTTGAAATAATTTCACATCTCTGCCTTGAAACTCACACTGATAAATATGCCGCAAGTGTTCCAGTGTGACTGATTTCTAAGAAAGGTACAATCCTAAGGACCATAACCTACTAGCTACCAGTTCTAAAATCTGAGGATGGAGCTAAAAACCACCTTTTTAAACACACAATGTTGCATCCCTACCCAGATTTTAGTGCTTTTAAACAACCTGACAAGATCATTTTTTCATTATTCATCTTTAAGTCTGCAATCTAAAACTCAACTCTTTTCCATGAACTGGTAAATCAACTTTAGTAAACACAAACTAAATATTCTATTTAAAAAAAATGCAAAGGAGCTCAAATTAGAAAAAGAAAGCTCCCAAAGTTGTTATTAAGCTACAGTGTTTAGCCAAGTGTTACTATCAAATATTTAAAATAAAAATTTTCATACCTGTCTTCATCACCATCAACAGGGATAGCTATGCTGAATACAGAGGTGGAGAGACTGTTCATAGGTGTTAACTGAAGAGGGTTTGTCAGAGCATCTGCAACAGGAGGCTTCACAACAGGCTTATTTTCAACAACAAGAGAAAGTGGTGGTTGAGGTAGGGGTTCGGATTTTCTTCTAGTATCGTCAACTTGCCCGACTGAAGGCTGAGTCTGAAACTGGCTTAGGTCGGCCTGTGGTAGGCTTGTTGGTGCGTTGGATGTGCCATGCTGGATGATACTGGCGCTCCTGCTGACTGACGTATGGCTGCTCAGCTGCTGCGGCTGGACCAAAGATGCGGGAACATTTGGCATAGTAACAGAAGTGGTAGACACACTAGGCACGCTTGGAGCGGGCACAGCTGCAGGCACGTTTGGAACACCGGGCACCACGGCGTGAGGTCCACCAGGCACGACTGACACCTGACTATTGCCACCCACTTGCTGCGGAGGCACCGACTGGGGCTGCGGAGGCCCAGGAAGGCCCAGGCCCGGCTGCACCACGCCTCCCACAGCAGCTTGGGGCACTCCAGCGGGTGGACAAGGAGCAGCCTTCCCTCCTTGCGCCGGTCCCAGGCCCAGGGCCACAGCTTCACTGGGCTGGGAAGAGGCGCCCAACATCTGCGCGCCCACCGAGGCGGCGTTCTGGGCGGTGCCTACCGGAAGACTGGCTGCCGTGGCAGGGCTCGCTCCGGCGCTGCTAGACGAAGGCTGCGCTGGGCTGGGCGGCTGCAGACCAGCCACATGTTGCTGCAGGTAGTCACTCTGGCCGGAAGGCTGGACGGGCAGCAAATGGGCCGGCGGCATTTGAGGCGGAGGATACGCGAATTGCTGGGGCTGCTGAGTCGCAGATGCTCCGGCGGCCGGGCCAGGTTGTGCAGGCAGGGACACGCTGGGCTGCGCCAGGGTTACATTCGTCGATGGCAGACTCTGTCCACTGGGTCCAGGAGGAGCCATACCGGGCCCTGCTCCCTGGGTCTGGCCTGGCTGCGGAATCGCCATCATTTGTTGTGGCCCGCCAGTGGCCCCGGGGAACGGGGGCAGCGGAGCCGAGCTTTGAGCCATAGCCCCACCTACGGGTGGAGGCGGCGGCTGTCCAACACCAAAACTCGGCGGCTGGGTCGAAGCGGGATGGCTCATTTTCTCCGACGGGGGTAGCTGTGACACAGCAGTCAGGGAGCTGTCAGTTCCCGAGTCGGGCCCGTGCGCCCCCTGCACCGCGGCCACCACTACCACCACCGACCCCCCGGTGGCGCCCAGACCGCTGTCCCGCTCCGCAGTCTGATCAAAAGTACTGCTGTGTCTAATGCAATCTCCAGACCTGGTCAGGACACTGCTGTCCGAATCTCTTTCATAGTATTCCATACACGTCCATCGTCCGCGCCTATAGGGCTCTCCGCTCCCGTGGTCCAGCTTGATCACGCGAAAACGGGAACTACAAGTGGCGGGAGGCTGCGATGGAGTCCCTGGCCCAGGGGGCAAGCCCGTGACTGAGGAGGCGCAGCCCGGCGCCCCCGAGGCGGGGGCCGCGGTGGCGACTGCCGCCTGGGTGTTGGCCACGCTCCGGGCCGAAACGGTGCCTACTCCGTTGGTGGGAGCAGCCACGGCGGCCGCCAGCTGCCCATCCAAAAGGAGGTTTGGAGATACGGTCCCAGGGGTCTCCGCATCCCCAACATTATTGAGCGTCTCTTCCGAGGAGCTGCGCTCGCAGACCTCCTCGGGGCCGTAATCCGTTGTCCGGGAAACATCGAATATCTCGGAGGAGACGTCTTCCGTACGTGACTCGTCCGGGTCGTCCAGGCTCTCGGTGTCCTCAGTGATGCTAGTGGCCACCTGGGCTGTGGTGACACTGGTGATCTGGAAGCAGCTTTTCTTCTTGGCCGGCATCTTGGACATGGTGAAGGCGGCTGGAGGACAGAGAAGCACTCCGGCTCCTCTGGGATCCCACCGGAAACCGGGAACGGCGGAGCACCAGCCGCAAAAGACAAATTCCGAGTCCACGTTGGGGTCTCAGGTCCGCCGCTATAACAGTCACGGTCTGATCCCGAAGCCGGCCGCTCTGTGAGACATCCTCCTCCCCGTTTCCTTCGCAGTGTCTGTTTCTTCGGCTCTGCAGCCGTCTCACTCTTACCACGGCTCCTCCTTCCTTTTCGCCTCCCGCAGGCACGGCGCCTCAATTCAACTCAAGACCGATGCTTTCTCGCCCGGTCTCCCGGCCGCCGTGGTCAGTCCAGCTCGGCGCTCAGCGCGGTCAGCAGGCCTTGACTGGGAGATAGGAGTGGGAGGCGGCGGCGACGGCGTGAGGGGCGGTGCTGCTCCGCTCGGGATCCTCAAGCCGGTGCCGGCGTCAGCTCCTGGCTCTTCGCTGTTGAGGGATGAAGGGGGAGGAGCGGCGAGTCTGGAGCCAGGGATTCCTGGTTCAGCCCGTAGCCGCCGGCCGGGGCTGACTGAAGGTCCGCGGGCGAGTGGTGGGGCTGCGGCGCGGGAGGGCGGCCCTCGCTCCCCGGCTTTAGCCAGACCACAGCCCCAGGGACATGTCGACTGTCTTTGGCGGAAACCCTCTCCGGAGGAGGGGAAAGCCGGCTCGGTCCTCCCCTTATAGGGGGAGCCACTCCCGCGGGCGGGCGGCGGCAGTCTCGGCCTTCCCTCGCGGCTCTCGAGTGAGGGGCAGCGGCGGCGGACCGCTGGCCAGCGAGGGAAAGCGTTCCAGTTGTATGAGGTAGCGGCGTTATCTTCTTCAGCTTTTCCTCCGTGCGCTCGCCTCGCAAATCCTGGAGAAACTGAAATTCAAACTGCTGAAGCGGCGGCTGGAGCTCCCTCCCCTTGGCCAAGATGGGGCTGAAATGGCCGCGCCAAGAATGCTGGGAGGAGCAGCAGCCCCACCACCACCGCCGCCGCCGCCGCCGCCGCCGCTGACTAAAATGCCGCTGCTGCCGCAGCCACAGCCGGCGCCGCAGCTGCCGCTGTTCCGTGACGCATCGACGTCGTGACGTCACCGCCCCGCCCCCTCTGGTTTCCTGAAGTTTCTCTTGGACGCCTGAGGGAGGAGGCGGTGGGCGGAGCTAAAGGTTAAAAAGGGGAGCGGTTTCTTTATTTTAAATTTTTTAAATTTTAATTTTGCGCTGCAGGTTCTTTAAAAGTTGAAGAACTGGAGCTATTTTAAATCCCAAGCCTAAGAGAAGTTTACCATCGCTCTAATCAAATGTCTTTATATCGATTTGCTCGAAGACACTGGAAGATTGTAGGTCATGTGCTGTGTCTAATATTTAGCAAAATCTATGTGAAACAAGGGCAATAGGAATGGGGGTTGCGATGTAATGGGTATGAAGAGGAAGACGGCTAGGGGAATTGAACCGCTTCAGACTTTACTGAAGATAAATGTTGACACTATAGTCAGGAGAGTGAAATGTTGAGGAAAGGGAGATGATTAAAAAATGCAGGCCAATTTGAATCAGAAAAATGATCTTTCAGCCAGAAATTCTGTCTCCAACAATGGCATCAGGGAATGGTTACTTGCCTAGGGTGAGGTCACTTTAAAAAAAAGGTTAGGGGTTACCAACATGTTCCTAATTTTCCTGAATTAGCTAAGATTCCAGCATTGGAGAGTTCATTCAAAGTCTTGAGACTCTTTTTACTTTCAGCACAAAATCAGCTTATGGGCTCCATAAATGTAAAACCTACTGCACTAAATAATTAAGAGGTCTCTCTTTTGTTTATTCTAAAACCCTTCGTTGGATACAGAGTGTTGTATGATTTGGATTGGGCCATGAACAACCATAAAGAGTCAGCATTCTTTCCTATACCAGTACATAGAACACCTGTGAAATTACTGTGATTTTTTTTACCATCTTTTAGTTGCTTTGTGGTAAAGGAAAATGATAAGGCCATTATTTTGAACAGTTGAAAAATGAGGGATGAGGAGATAGAGAACTTGAATTTTGAAATACTAATGCAGCCACCATTTAGATAAAATATAAGAAGTCTTGCTGAAAAATCAAACTTTTATATCTATTGCATCTTTAGCAGTCACATGATTTCCATATTAAAAATACATAAAATTGTTTTACTCTGTTTTCTAATCTTCAAAGAAGTACTTTTTATTTTAATCTCACAGCTTGTTTTAAGAATTAAAATTTATAGAGGTTTTTTTTTACGTCCTTAGTTGTAATTAAGTTACAGAGATAGCTTTCTAACCTAAGTAGAAATCATGTCCTCCATATTCAAGTGAGTGAGGTCAGGATGTAAAATAAGACCACATAATAACATCCCTGTTTCTGAAGAGGGTGGGAGGGAGTAAAGGAACAAAGTGTAACATTATTTTGCTATTGTGGCAAAGATAGCTAAAGGAATGTTTCATTGCTAAATCTGTAATTTCAGTAAATGTAAGAGTTTTCCATCAGTAAGTTAGACCACTGGTTAAATCTAATATGAACTTATAAAAGCTTAATTTAATTTTGAATTGATTTACTAGATCATTAAAAGTGCTTATCAATGGGTGGTATTGAGCTCAGGGCTTTTGGAAAAATAAAAATCGTATGCCTACTCATCTCATTACATTATATAAACTTCTTGAATCACACATTTAGAGGAAAATCTTGATCTATAAGACCATTTCTCCTTAAAGAAAACATAAAGGATTTATTATGAAATTAAACTGTAGATAAAGATCATTTAGAAGAGCTCAAGAAGTAGGCTATACTTCTGGTAAGGATGGGGTTAAAGATGTTAAAAACACATTGGGAAAAAAATAAGATTCATAAAATTAAAACGTTTCATTTATATAATTAAAGATTTGTGTGTGTGCTTAAACTTGAACATATTTTCTGTTTTGGTTACCTCTGTGCTGCTCTAACAGAAAATACACCACAAATGGGATGGCCTTAACAAGCAGGAGTTTATTCTCCTACAGTTCGGGAGGTTAGAAGTCCGAGTTCAAAGTGCCAGGCTCTAGGGGCTGGGTGAAAGCCCCTCAGGCCTGGGCTTCAGCTCTGCCTCCTGCTCCTGGCCCACTGGAGCTAGAGGCTTTACTTCACTCAGACAGCTGCTGGCTGCTGAGGCTGACAAGCCCAAGGTTGACAAGTAAAAGGGCACAATCCTAATGTTACCAAACTACAGGGCAGGCCTTTCATACAAGTCCATTGAAAGTCCCAAGGTCTGCAGAGCATGGCAGGCTGCTGAACAATGAGACGGCTATGCAAGGTTCAAGCATGCCATAAGCTAGAGACCATTCCCAAAGCTGTTTCTTATATACCAGAAGCAGACCACATTCCTAAAGCAGCTACTCAGCTACTTGAGGTTAGGTCCCACCATGGAGCTGATTGACAGTTTTCATCATAGGGAATAATTACCACCAGCTCCCCAGCCACTCAACCAGGCCCAGCCAAGTTGACACACAAACTTAACCACCACATTTTCCAAAAGTTTTAAAGACCTTAGCTTCATTTATACACTTGACCTTGAAAGAATATAGAGAATTTTTTGTATAAGACTGCTAAAATGATTAGAATTCTGATTGTTGCAAGAAAATTTAAAATCATACAGAGGACAAATATAACTATCATCAAACTACAAAAATCTGTTATTCATAACTGATCCGCAAAGGATTAAAAGCCTTTAAGTAACTAAAATGATAGAAAAGAGGATGTATGTGCAAATACGCATGCTCAGTGTGTGGTGACTTGATGTTAAGTAACATGGTAGCCTAGAGTTAAATGCACAACTCAATAGAACTGGATAGATCCCTGGAGACCCAAATCTCAAAACTAGAGGTCTTAATGCAGTTATCCTGGCTCCGTACCAGTGCCCAGAAACTATAGGTGGAAGCTGTGGAATCCTCAATAACTACTCCCAGGGCCCCAGTTTGACTATTTGGCTTATACTTACTATTTCCCTCAAAGATTTCAAATTGAAGCAATGTATATGGTAAGTACCTTTAGGTCAAAAATGCAGGGAAAAAAAAAAAAAAAAAAAAAACCTTAGGAACTAAGGATGATTTTCAGTGATGAAAAAATCTGCTGCAGTAAGACCTTTCATCATTTGTGAGCATTTACTCCCAAATTCTACTAGGTTATTATCTAGCAGCAGCGGTACCAGATGGTAAGTTATTAAATACTCACTAGATAATGGAAATTCAACTGCAGAAACCCAAGAAAACAGGACTAAAAATAATGCATATTATATTTAATATAATAATGCTATATTAAACATTCTGGAATAAGAGAAAAGAAAATCATACTTTCTGTAGAAATCAAGCAACTGCCTAAGCTAAAAGAACTACCCTTTTAGAATTAATACCGTCAGTTGGGCAATGACGTTAATTGAGCATTCCCTGTGTGCATTAGGAAAACTGTACCCCAATCAACAAGTTTTCCTGAAATGAAGAAGTGTTGTTGTTCTTCGGCGCCACTGAGTCAGATTCGACTCATAGCAGCCCCTTCTTGTGTTTCTGATGTGGTATCATTCCGGAAGTAGATTGCCCAACCTTCCTTCCCAGGAGTGGCTGGTGGGTTTGAACCGCCAGCCTTCTGGTTAGCAAGTGCCTTACACACTATTTTCTACGTTTTTATAACTGAATTATTATAAAAATAGAAAATGTAGGAATAGTTTTAGAAATAAGTATCGGTTGTCTAAATAAATAGTACTTGATTTGACATCTACGACATCCAGGGGTTGCGTTTCTGGAACAACATCATATTAAAATCCCTTGCAGGGAGACCATTGTGTATATTATGTAAAAAAGAAAAAAAAATTGCAGTGGAAGGAAGACTAAGGCTAATGAAATGCCATGAATATTTTTATAAAGCAAAACATAATCTGATAGGGATGCATATATTCTTAAGAATAAAGTGTTTAAGATTTTCACATCAAAGGAAACTTCTATTAATATACTTTTAGAGTTTTAGATACTATGAAACAATGATAAATTTTTAAAGGCGAAGATTTCCTTGAGTCCCAAAGACTTATGAAGGATAGACAAAACAATATGGTAGAAGAAAAAGGTACACTTTGAACTAATAA